TAAATAAATAAATAAATAAAAATTACATGCAAGTATAACATTAATTCTTAAAATTCTACTAAGTTAGATATTCCAAGTTATTAAAAACAATTCGCCTAACCCTTACTCCCACTGACTGGGCGTCTTCTCTTTCCACAGGAGAAACAGCGTGAGAGAAAATTGGGAACGGATGTTTTGCGGAATTTCGCACAGAAAGGGCTGCTCCAGAGGCTGGGCGATCTCGACCGCAGCGATCCAACCTGGGCGAGCGCGCGGAGAGGCCACGACCCGCCCCTTCCCTGGTCTTCACCGCGCCTCCGGGGCAGGCTCCCCGCACGCCCGCGCACCCCCCCCCCCGGCCGGGGGCGCGCGTCCTGAGCCTGCGCGCCTCAGGCTGTAGGACAGTAGCAAGCCCTGTGTCGAGTGCAGGGAGCAGCCCGTTCGTAGTTCGTGTTGATCGCAATTATCCAGGGTGTAAATGGACCCCCTGAAAATCAAATACCAACAGAGTATTTGTTAACGGAGCCAGCGGGGGCTCGTCTCCGGACAGAAGGCCAGGACCGGTTTCCCGAACCCGGCCGGGGGGCGCGGCCCCGATACCCTCGGTGGCAAGGCAGGAGTCGGGGCGGGCAGGGTCCGCGGCCAGGCTGTGGCCGCGCGCCCCGCCTCGCGGGTGTGCACAGGCGCTCGGGGCGCTGGGAGGCCGGCGTGTGAAGCTGGCCCGGGTCCCGGCCGAGCGCTGCGTCCCATCACTCCCGCCTTGGACGCTCCAGCGCCCAGCCTGCGACCGGCGCGCGCGAGCGGCGGGGGCGGGCGCCCCAGGGCTTCGAGGAGTCCGCTCCGCGCTCCCACCCGTCCCTCGGGCGCAGCCACCGCCCGAGGCCGCGGAGGAGGGCAGAGCCGCCCAGATCCCGTTTATCACCCCATCTCTCATTACATAAGGCCCCTATCTCCGCGGGGCATCGCCCAGACTGTCAGGCCAGCGCCCCTTCTCCCACGCGCGGGGGCGCACCTGCCCACAGTTCCCCCGCCTCGGTTTGCATGGTTCCCCGGTCGAGGGTCCTTGACTCATGTTGGCACACAGCTCTGGGGTCACGCAGTGGTTCCCTGCTCCTTCCCTCAAAACAGAGCCCCAATTCTACAGATGAGGAAACTAAGGCCCACAACTAAGGGGTTGTCACACAGCCCAATGGCAGCACTCCAGGCCCTGGGGGAGTACAAGGGGACCACAAGGGGCAGGGGCTGGCTCAGGGCCTACAACTGGGCTGCGAAGCTTGGGTCCGGCCAGAAGAGGGGGTGGGGGGGAGGAGAGAGTGGGCGAGGCTGTGAGGCTTCTGAGCAAGAGCAGCGGCAGCCAGCATCCCTTGTCCCTTCTGAGACCCTTGTGAGGAGGCTGGGCCTCACTGGGGGGTAGGACAGAGGAAGCCAGAGCAGACAGAGAAGGGGCTGGAGGGGTAAGCACTGGTTTAGGGGAGGAAGTGGGTGAAGAAGACAGCCTGACATCGGTAATGAACTGGCAGATAATGTCGCCTCTGTGGCAGGGGCTTCTGGAGGACTTCTAGAGAAAGGAGTGAAAAGCAGGCTATACACCAGCGTCCCTGAGGGGGTGAGATGTTCAGGGGGACCCTGGAGTGGGGGCAGGCCCTGAAGCTGCCCTCCACGGCCTTCAATCTGTAGAAACTTGGGTGCCCCAAGGAGGAGGGCTTTGTCCCACAGATAACTGGTGAGCAGAGGTGGTCACCCAGGTCTAAGTGGCACTAGGAACAGTCACACTTCCCAACCAGGGCTAAGGCTGGGTCCTGACTCCTGCCAGCCTGGCCTGTCAAGGGTTTCCCATCAGGATGGGCCCATGCCGAAGGCCTGAGTTGGGCACCCAGCTTTTAGGCTGCCCATACTCAAAGTTATCACCTCTGGATCTTTCAGTGGAGACCTGGGAATCTGAACTTTTTATCATCCTCCACAGTGGGGCCATATAGGATTCGGGCAGATGAAAAGGAGTGAACTCCACTCTTTTCTTTTTATCCTGTTTGAATTTTGTATCCAAAGCAAGTATTACTCTGGTAATGCAAGAGACCATTTCGTTGGAAAAATAAAACCCCTAAATTCCCACATCTGGTAGACTGTGGTCATAGCACTGTCTGCCTAGCACTTCTGGTGACACAGAAGGGTCTCAGGACAGGAGCTGGGCAGGCACTGGGGGTGGTCACCGAGCAAAACTGCTGGAGCTCCAGCTGGCATGGCTGACGCCAGGCCGCCCTCTTCCCTACCACTGGAGTAAGCACCCCCCCCCATATCTTGAAAGGTGCCCCAGACCCCCTCAATGATAAGTCCACAAGAAATCAAATTCTTTCCTTTATGCGACGCTGGATTTTCCACAAAGTAAAATCAAGATGAGTAAAGATGTGGTTTCTAGATAGTACCTGACAAAGCGGAGACCAGGGTGGGCGGCGTCACACTTGCCTATAAAAGCTACCGCAAGAGGCCAAGGTCATAAGCCACTCAGCTTAGGCCAGCCTACGTGTCTGCTCCTCGCTCCTCCTGTTAGCTCTAGGCTCCATGGCGCTCTGGCTGACCGTGGTCATTGCTCTCACCTGCCTTGGTGGCCTCGCCTCCCCGGGCCCCGCACCTCCCTCCACAAGGAGGGAGCTCAAGGAGCTCATTGAGGAGCTGGTCAACATCACCCAGAATCAGGTGAGTCTGGCTCTGAGGGTGCTAGGGTGGGAGCTCTCAGGCAGCGTACTTGGTCATGGTTTAGGCCACGAAGGTTGGGCTGTCCCAAGAGGCCTATGGAGCAGGAAGAAGCCCCATGGACCAGGACAGTCCCAACCATGAGGGAGAGGAGCTGGGCAGGGGGCTGGGGGAACAGCACAATGGATGGCCCATAAACAGATGTGGCAGAGCCCCCAGCTGGGACCACCTGTTCCCCGTGCTTGGCCCTGCCTGCCAAGACCAACTCCTACTCAGACATTCATGAAAAGAAGTTAGCAGAGAGGGGCCAGCACGCTCCCAGGGCGATTTAGCACTTGCCGACTGGATCGGAATGGAATAATGGGGGCATTATTCACAGCACTTTGCTTAGGCCCATTTTTATGGAGGAATTCATTGGTAGTCAGCTCCTGTTCCCAATGGTGATGGCTCACGCTTTGAGCAGTGACTGTGTGCTGAGCCTAGTGTAGGTGCTTTTCATCTCATTTCATCACTGCCAACCACCTCAAGAGACAGGTGCGATGACCCTATTTTACTAAGGCTGCATTAAGGTTGACAAAAGTCAGATTCAAACCAGGCCTGGCTTACACCGGGTGCCCATACTCCAAACTGCAGTGTCCTCAGATTCAGAAGACAGGGTTAAAAAAAATTCTTTTTATTAATGTTTATTTTTGAGAGAGAGACAGAGCATGAGTGGGAGAGGGCAGAGAGAGACACACACACACAGAATCTGAAGTAGGCTCCAGGCTCTGAGCTGTCAGCACAAAGCCTGACACGGGGCTCGAACTCACAAACCACAGGATCATGACCTGAGCCGAAGTCAGATGCTTAACCGACTGAGCCACCCAGAGGCCCCAACAGGTACAGTTTTATACACTAACACCCACAGCCTCCCATCTGACTGATCTGGCCTCCCCTCCCTCACGGATGGCTGCCCTGGCTATGGAAGCTTCACTCAAGGCTGTGTCACTCAGATTTTTCTCTCTCAGCCCCCAAACCCTGTACAATGGGTCTCCCTCAGTATGCAGAGCAGGAAAGTAAGCTCAGGAACACTGTGGGGTCCCAGGCCTGCCACTGTGCTACGCCAGATTGCCTGCAGGGCCTGACTGCTGCGGAGACCTAGCCTGTGATTTTGCTCACTGTCTTTTTACTCCCTCAGGCATCCCTCTGCAATGGCAGCATGGTGTGGAGCGTCAACCTAACAGCCGGCGTGGTAAGGACCCCAGGGACGCTGGGAGGGAGGTGGCTGAGGCTGCAGGTCTTATGTGTGTCTCTCCTGAGCCTCACTTGCAAGGCTTAAGGGTCCCACGCAAGCACAGTTTGGGCCACCCCCACCACCTGAACCTACCTCCATGTAACGTCAGTGAAGGTGCTGCCTGAGCCATTTGGCTGGGGTTGCGTCCCAGCAGGGCCTGACACCCCCGTGTTCCTCTTCCAGCAGTACTGTGCAGCCCTAGAATCTCTCATCAACGTCTCTGACTGCACTGCCATCCAGAAGACCCAGAGGATGCTGAAAGGCTTGTGCTCTCAGAAGCCCTCAGCAAGGGTAAGGCCCCCTAACCATACCCCACAACCATGCACCCACTCCTGCCAGCCCTGGGCTCACCCTAGGAGCTTCTGGGGGAACCTGGCTGAGCATCTGAGGCAAGCGTCCACCCTGGGGGGAAGGGGAGGTGGCCACGGCGGCAACAGGAACATGGCCTCTGGGATTTCCAAGACCTGGTCTTGAGGGCTTCCGACTCCTACCTGAGCTTCAGTTTCCGAACTAGTGAAATGTGAGCACCAACAGTACCCACCTCATGGGGCTTTTGTGAGGATTAAATAAGCCAGTTCCTGGAAAGCCCCTGGCAGATGCTGGGCATCTTTGTTCTGGAGTCCCACTAATGCGCTGGCCTCTTCATCCTGCAGCAGATTTCCAGTGAGCTCAGCCGAGACACCAAAATTGAAGTGATCCAGTTGGTAAAAAACCTGCTCAACCATTTAAGGAGAAACTTTCGCCACGGAAATTTCGAATGAAAGATGAAAACCTAGCATTGCTATTTGCAGAGGCGGACCTGACCATTTAAGTTATAGATTCATTTTTCTTTCAGATGTTTCAAATTTCTTGGGGAGACGAGGGGATGGGAGGGGGGCACGATTTCCTTAGCTTAGACCTCAGCCCATGCTGCCTGACCTCGCCTAGCCGACCCCAGCTGCCCCTTGCCTTGGTGCACAGGGCCCTCCTCCACCTGGGCTCTGAGTTCTGTGAACATCTGGGGGCGGGGTGGGAGCACTGCCTCTCACAACTGCCCCCTCCTTAGAGCCAACGGCAGCATTACACCAAGGGCGCCACCTTGGCAGACACATACGAGGGGGATCTGCTGTACACGGGGACAGCTAAGGCAAACGGCGGCTCAGGCACATCTCTTCTTGGCCTTATTTATTACTGTGTGTTATTTAAACAAATGTGTTTGTCTGTGCTGGGGACAGGGAGGGACTGTTGCCGCCAGAACTTGGAGCTGGGGCCCCAGCGACTTGGGCGTTAGGAGTCCCTGGGAATAAGCACTGTGTGCAAACTTCTGCTACCTCAATGGGGTCCTGGGGCCCACCCAGGGGACAGGAGAGAGGGCTGGAGTAACTTCTCTTCTCTTCCACCCAGCAGCTGGCCCTCAGCCAAGAAGTAATTTATTGTTTTTCCCTGTATTTAAAGTTAAGAAATAAAATGTTATCAAAGAGTTAATAATATATAGAAGAACAGCCTAGGAGGCTGCATCTGGTGTGTGTGGACTGTGGGGAGAGGTCAATGAATGTGTTGTTTCACTGACTGTGTCAAAGGAAGCCAGAAATAAAGACAGTGACAAGACACCTGATGTTGTTTGTCCTTTACTTTGGCCTTTGGGGACCATGGCCTATGTTCTTCTCAGGCAGGGCAGTGGGAGTGGGGGGGGGGGCGGTTGGGGACAGGATCTGGGCTGAAGGGAAGTAAGGGATCCCCCAGGGGTGCAGGCTGGCCTGAAGGACTTCCCCCCACCTGCCATCCACAGGGAGGCAGAGGAAGCCTGGGCCAGGACATCAGGGTTCATGGAGGACATCGGAGGAGGAGGAGGAGCAGTTGACTCAGAAGTCATCTTACAATCCCAGTGATGATGAGTGGCCAGTATGTGTGTACACCACCCACACAACCTCTGGTGTCTGCCCCACAACCTCTCTGAGGCTCAGGGATGAGAAGGTAGCATGCCCAAGGTCACACACCTGCTGAGGAGCAAAGCCAGAATTAGAAGCCAGAACACACTCCAACTCCAAAGCCCAGACGCTAAACTACCTTGCCTTCCTCAGTCCAAACATCATCTGGCCTAAATGTACGATCTTTATGATACTGGCAATGACCTATTTGGGCACCTCCCCTGATGGTAAGCTCACTTTCTGGGGAGAGGACAGTCAATCCCTGGACAGGTGTCCTCATTAATGCATACTCACCACATCTGTGAACAACCGATTTATGGCCCATGAACTATGGAGTGACGAGTGGAGATGCCAGGTACCAGGGGCCTGGTCAGACTGTGGCCCCAGCCAGGTCTTCCTGCCTCTCCCTTGGACCAGGCTGTCACTACATGTGCCAGAAGCAGAACCCTCAGCAAGCCACAGCTAACGCTCATGCTCCGCAGGAGCGGTTTATACCGTGAATCTCTGAGAGGTGCCCAGAAGGAGGGGATGCTTTTGCAGTGAGTGGTGGGTCCTCACAGACCAACCTCCAACACTGGGTGGTGGGCAGGGACCCTCCCTGGGAAGCCCCACGCCCTGTGGGAACATCCACAGCAGTGCTCAGAAACCAGTGGAGGCAGCCATCTGGGAGCAGTGAGAGGTGACGCTGTGCACAACTCAGGCAACAGAAGGTCCCGTGGCGGGACCTGTCCAGGGGCAGACAACCACGGGGGCAGCCCCAGGAACCACTAAAAACAGAGCGGACCCCTTGCACCCATTGAGAACCGAGGGAAGACCTGTGGAGGGGGCACCGGAGCTGAGTGGCCCACGGGCTGTCCGGAGCAGGGACTGGATCATCTCCATGGTCCCACAAGGTCTCGGAATCTGCTGCGTCCCGCTACATTTGCTGAGGACTGCTCAGGTCCTGCACTCCTCCGGCCCTCTGGGCTGGCAATGACCCAGACAGCACATGCACTCAAGGTTTAGCACCAGAAAGAAGTCTTTAAGCAATGGAGGGTTCTGGAGAGGAAGGCTCTACCAGGAAGGCAGGCAACTCGGGGGTGGGGGTAGAAGGTAAGATCTCCACAATTCCTCTCCATCCAGAGGTTCAAGAGTTTTGAGCCAGAGGATATTTATGGAAGATTGATTTTATTTTAATACAAAACTTATTAGCGATCCAGTCTCTGGTAGCATCACCTTTGACCCACATCCTCTGCCCAGCCAGAGTGCTGGCCTGTCCGACCGAAGGAAGATGGAAAGTCTTCAGGTGAAATTCCACGTGAATCTTTCAAGAATAAAGACTGGAGGGGCGCCTGGGTGGCTTAGCCGGTTGGGCGTCCGACTTTCGCTTAGGTCATGATCTCACGGTTCTTGGGTTCGAGCCCCGCGTCGGGCTCTGTGCTGACTGCCAGCTCAGAGCCTGGAGCCTGTTTCAGTCTGTGACTCCCTCTCTCTCTGACCCTCCCCTGCTCACGCTGTCTCTCTCTCTCTCTCTCCTAGAAATAAACAAAACATTTAAAAAAAAAAAAAAAAGGAATAAAGACTGGAAGCGAGGCCAGGCTGGGGCAAGTTCTCTTAGGATTTCCTAAGGATCTATTTACTCCAAGTGGTAGTCGGGAGGGTGTACAACACCAGCAAGGCCACCAGGGTCCCACCACTAGGGGTCCACAGCGTGCCACATCTGCAGGTACCCATAGCTCCCTGCCTGAGGCACTGAGACTGTCCCAAGACAAGGAACCTGTGTTCACCGATGTGTGCAAGTCAGCCAGAGGGGCTCAGGCCCTTCCAGGAATGATGGGCCTCCCAGAGCCACAGAACAAAGCCAGTGCAGGTGGCAAAAGGGAGGAGGGCCCAGCCAGGAATGAGAGAGAAAGAAAAAGATGAAAGAGGAGAAAAGGGTATGTGTCAGCTATTGTGGCTGGGAGCACCACTACCTGGGGACTAAGCCTGGGGTATTTGCTGGGAGTTTCTCTAACCATATGGTCTCACTTCTTCCATGCGAGAGGCAAACCCTGAGCAGGTCCCAGAGAGAAGGGGGGTCGGGAAGAGACAGTGCTTGCTGAGTGGGAGGGAGACGCTGGTCATGGGGCCCAGGGCGGGGAGCCCCTTTGCACTCCACAAACCCCAGGCCCCGGAGGTTTCACTGGAAGAGGGGCTGGGGCTCAAGTGAGAAGTGAGACACACTCGAGTTTCCGGTGAACTCGGCTCCAACACCTCTGTTTGCTGCTCAGATGAGGTGTCAGAAAACACTTCAAGTCGCTGCTGGGGCTTCTCTGAGGCTGGCCCTCTGAACTTCTCAGGCCTCAGGAGGACAAGTGCTTTCATCTTGTTTCCTTGTGACCTAGCAGCTTGAAGGCTAGGGATTATCACATCCATCAGCCTGTGGCTTTTTCATTATTATCAACAGGAAAGTGCCTGTTGCGTATTATCTTAATTTAGCTGGTCAGTTTTTTGCAAAACTACAACTCGTTCCTCCCTTGAGCTGACTCCCTTCTAAGCTGGTCTGGCCGAGTCCAGGCTGACCATGTTCCAGGCTGGCCGTCTGGCCTGGGACTCACTGGCCAGTCATCTGGCTTTTCCAGAGGCCCAAGCCGGTGTTGGAACTGGGGTCTATATCCACGGTCACCCCTCCCACACACATGCTGCCCACTCCTACACTGAGAAATAAAAGTCATAAAGCCTCATTATCTTCATTCGTTTCTCAGCTCCACCCAAAAGCAACAGAGTAAAGGGTTTGCAACGAACTTTCCCAGATCAACTGATTTCTCAGCAGCAAGGGAGGGCCCCATGACGAAGCCATTTGAAATCCCAGAAGCGATTTTCTACCTACGACCTCACTTTCTGTTGCGCCCTCTCCTTTGTTCCCCTGCACAATGCCTAGTGGAAAGTGGTTCTCTCAACGCGTCCTTCAGAAACGCCCCCAGCCCGTGCACCACACCGGCGGACGCTGCTGTGTGGTCACCGTGACGCAAACATCAACATTAAATATAGCAACCTTCGTCAGTTCCGCTCTCTGCATTACTTGGACAACCAAGCAAGCATGTGGCGAGGGCCACAGTCGGCTGTGGAGGCCCCTGCAGACCAGAGGGTCTGCGCCCCCCTGCTGAGCCCATGGCCCTAAGCCACAAGGAGCCGCAGTGACACCCCATTAGAAAAGCAATTTCTCATTTAGTGTCTCCTTTTTCTTCTCATCTGTCTCCCCACGTTTTCTTTAATGAGCATTTATTCATTCCCCGCTGAAGGACAAAGACAAATTTAACTAAGAAAAAAAAGAACTAAAACAAAACAACATGAAAAGGGTGTCTGGTCCAAGAGAGGTCGGGAAGGGGCCAGCAGCACTCCCTAGACAGGACCATCGGGGCCCTGGGTTCAATTCTAAGGGCAGCGGGGGAGCTGGCCATCTCAGGAACAGAGCCGGCACCTGTAGGGGTCCCGCACCACACACCCCACGGGGCCTGTCAGATCCCGTGTTGCCAGCGAGAGAGGAAGGCACACAATTCTTGGGGGTCTTCACCCAGCCCTGGCCACCAGGCTGGTGCAGGGGCACATGTGGGGGATGAGATGGGAAAGGTGGGTCACCAGTCCCGCTCTGAGGCTGAAGTGACATTGACGCCCCGGGTTCTGCAGAATTCTCAGCCAGCTTTCCTCTCTCAGGAAAAGACCCTTCCACCTGCTTCTCAAACAAAAGAGAAGCCAGGAGCTTATGGAGCTACTTCACCTCCATTCGAGAAGCCAGAATGCACCCTCCTCCCGCTATTTCCCTCCCTGTGACGGGTCCTCCTTGTAACTTTGCTCAAAATGCCATTCCCCTGCCCTCCCCAGGAGCTAGGGCAGAGACTATAGGGCCCAAATAAGGCCCAGCTATGCCCCTAA